AAAAAGCTGTACCTCTGAAAGCCCAAGTGAAATAGTCATCATGTTGTTTCTGCTCGTCTTTAGCTAGGTTTCTCCTAGGATAGTAATATCACTTGCTGGGATGCACATTTTAATAGAAAATTTTGAGTCCTTGCCGACTTCTAGAATAAAGTGATTACCCAATCTATGGCCATGATTCTGGTTCGCACCTTTTGTTTGTCGAGATGAGTCATGTTGATTGAGATGGCTTATTGTCAATGCATGAAGAGCCATGGCTAAACTGGAACAACCGTCTTGATAGAGTTTTCTTGTTTCTGATCTTAGTTTCCTGCTTGTTCACTCTTCTGGCGGTTAAACTTGTAGGCAAGGGCCCTTTTACGCCTTCTCTTTTTTCTTATATTTACCTTGACTTTGAGAAGAAATCTTGTATGAACCACTTTATTGTGACAAACTCTCATTTCAGCTTGGTTTTGAATGTAGCTTGTGGATGAGAAGCTTCAGAAACGGATATTGGACCCATATGCGAAAGTTCGGAAATGGGTTGAAGATACAAGGAAGGCAATACAACCTCATTTTGATGAAATTCATGTTGCCTTCTTCCAGATGAAAGAGATGATAAAGAAGGCGCTGGCTGGTGCGGGCAGTGGTGAGACGAAAACCGGCTGACAAGCTGCATAGGATTCAAAATATGTGGGATTGCTGCTATATGTTGAAGCCCTATAGAATTTCCAGAATCTTTTCCAATCATGATCTCAGATCTTGGTGTAAGAAAAAAGGCAATTTGGCAATAAGGGCAGTTTATGTTTGTATTGTAAAGTAATAATCCAGTTTCCTATTTGGTAACTGGAAACAGAGTATGTAGTAGGAATATGCTAGGAGAGAAATTGTTACTGTTGCAGCTAATTTCAAGTAAAAGAATGTGAAATATCTGGTACAATAAGCTCCGGCAATACTTGTCCGACGCTGTTTCATGTCCGTCTAATTTGCTCCATATGTCTCTTTTCCAATGCTGCACTGAAAACGGGGGATTAGGGGTTGGGGAGTGGGGAGTCAACTACATGCAATGCAAAAATATAAAAAATAAAAAAAGGGTCCAAAGTTTTCATCGATTTACCTTTGATAATAAAGATTGGGAAAATGTTAATAGCATTTCATTTTTTTCATATTGGTCTTCTCACTATATTTTTTTTTATTATGTAGTTTAGTAAATAAAAATTATATAATAAAGATAATAGTGGGAGTGTTGTCATAAAAAGGGAAGTATGATTAATATTTGTCAAAAGACTGTCATTCCCTACAAAACATACAAAAGAAGGCAATAACATCCAATTTGACAATACAACATAATGGTGGTGCTGATAATGCTGCAACCCATTTTTTGGTCCTACAATCATATGTGCACAAAATGTCAAATCCAAGTGCAATGTTTGGACTAATAAGGAGGGATAATTTTATTATTTCAATACAAATTTGTAGTGGAAATAAAATATGAATTGTGACATTAAATTTAATCCCCGGGCTCGGGGGCATTGTTATCTGCCTTTGGAAACTTTGAAGAAATAAATGTTGCCAGAAAAAAGAATAGAAAGAGCATTGGTGCGGGTTAGGTATGCTCCAGAGATTGAGGGGAAAACTGAAAAGGAATCCTCTTTTTTTCTCATATAGTAATTTCCACAGGCCGAATTGGGCCACCGCTTGGGACCTCAATCATTGATTCTTCATTGACTTAATCGGTGCATATGTTCGTCCCAGTGAATGGTGTAGCGGTAGCAACTCTCACAGGTGACCGATAAGTCCTGAGTTCGAGCCTCTGCTCTATTAGATTTTTCCGTGCACTTAACATGCTTGGGTCGGATTAGGGCATCGGGCCCGAGCCACAGGGGATTAATCGAGCCCCATAAGAATTCCACAGGGGATTAATCGAGCCCCGTAAGGATTGATCCGGACATCCTGTGTCGACAAAAAAAAAAAAAAAAAATCGGTGCATTTGTTCGACCCGAAAGATAATGCCATAGTGGTGCTACTGTCCAAGCACTAGTGCCTATTTATACGTAAAGCACTGGCACACTTCAAGGCTTGCGTTGCCACTGACCAAGGAGATATGAAGCTGAAACTGTTTGTAGATCGTCTCTCTCAGCCATGTCGTGCAATTCTCATCTTCTGCAAGTAACAATTCACGATAATTGTAGTCTTATTTCTTGATGCCTAATCATTTGGCTTTTCATTTCTAATTTTTTGGGTACTTGGAATTGTTTGTGGAAAGGTTAAACGGGATAGAGTTCGAGGAAGTCACGATTGATTTTTGTAAACGCGAAAACATATCTCCTGAATATCAGAGTGAGTCATGACTTTGTTTTGAACTTGATGGTAATGAAAAAGGTTTCTCTTGAGATATAAACACCTTTCTGATTGTGCCTCAGAAATCAATCCTATGCAGCTAGTGCCAGCAATAGAAGTGGATGGAGAATTTAAGCTCTTTGAAAGGTACTATAAGGGTGTGAAGTTGGATCACTTTTGTCTATTCTCTGCTCATAGAAAGGCAGAAGAAATCAGATGAAATGCTTTATTTGTTGTGTTTTTGGATTTCATATTATTCGCTTCGAGAAGGGAAAGTTTATACTGACATCGACAAAGTAGTTCAACTTGAATTCTGTTGCTAATCCAAAAGTGCAGATCTTTATTTTTCAGAAAGTATTTCAAACGAAAACCTCCATATTTTGAAGGGGCAAAAATCTTTCCTTTTGCTTCTTTGAGTGATGATCCTGTATAGGGATGCTCTTTCTGTTTTATGATCATATTTCACTGAGGATGAACTAAATCTATCCTTATATTTCCTTTTCTCCTCCTCATATTAGCTAGGTGATTTCTAAACCAGCTTTTCATGCATGGTGTTTACGCGTTTGGTGTCCTCTGCAGTCATGCAATTCTGCGATTTCTGGCTTCTGCTTTCCCTGGAGTTGCTGATCATTGGTCAGTCTCTGTCCTGTACTAGATGATAGTTGAACTGCATTTTTCCATCCCAGGTCCACACTGAGGCTTCATCTGGTAGTAATTTCCAAGCAATATGTGGAGTAGTATTTGATAATTGATATTGATAAGTCTTTTCCCTTACATTTTTCATACTTGAAGGTATCCTGCGGACCTGTTCGAAAGAGCACAGATCGACTCAGTTTTAGATTGGCGTCATTCCAATCTGCGACATGGTACAAGTATGTATCTTTCCTTTGCTTTTATTTACTGGGAGGGAATTTTTGACAAAATTTGACCTCGATACAAGAAATTATTGCATTCGTCCCTTGACAAATATGTCCATCAGACCACACAATGACAAAAAGTGAAGAAACAAGAAGAAGCCATCTTTGAATAATCCCTGATGACAAGTTAAATTTGTTGAGATAATCATCTGTATTTATAGGATGGTACTCTGAACGATGCTTATGTTTACAGCTGGATTAGTCTTCAACAGTACAGTTGGACCTGCCTCCGAATTTAGAAGCAGCAGCTGAAGCTAGAAAAGTCCTCCTAGCTTCTCTTCCAAAGGTCGAATCCTTCTGGCTCAAGCGTGATGGACACTTTCTGCTGGGAAGATCTCAACCTTCCATGGCAGACCTGATTTTAGTCTCTGAAATTATGCAACTTGAGGTGAAGATAGATGTCTTCTGCATCTCGTTTTTTTTTTTTTTTTTTTTTTTTTTTTTTTTGTTTTGGTGTTTATGCTCATACAGATATTATGAACCTATTTCTCTCGACTTCAGAGATCCTACCTGCATTTTATCTTTTGAGTATACATGACAAAGGAATTATCCTCATTTCAAGACTATGGTTGAATTTTAGGTCTTAGATGAGAAGGTTCGCAAACAAATATTAGACCCATATAAAAAGATTGGGAAGTGGATTGACGATACAAGAAATGCAACTCAACCTTATTTTGATGAATTTCATGCCGTCCTCTTCCGAGCCAAAGAGAAGCTAATCAAGATACGGTCTACTGGAAGCAGTGATGAGACAAAAATCAAGTGAAATTCTGCTTGATACTCAGAGATGGAGGAATGCTGCTGCTGCTTGTTAAAATCCCACATGATTTTCAAGCTCCTCTCCAAACAGGATATGGGATGTTGGCGTATTAATAGTTAGTGAGAATCCAAAATAAAGACAATTCGTCTTGGTTGTGTTTTGTGAAAGTAGTAGTAATTTGTATTTTCTGGTTTGGTTGCCGGCCAGGCGATGTGACACAACAGCATATGAAACGAATTTGACACTGCTGTATTAAGCCAAGGCCAAATAAATCAATGTGAAAAATCTTCTGTGTATTAGACTCGCTTTTTTTTTTTTTTTTTTGGACAATAAGGTTGAAGGATAAGGAGGGTGCAAACAATGCTTCTAGATTTTTTTTTTTGAGGCATTGTTTTTAATGGTAGAAGAATTTGTTCCAGCTCTCAACAAATGACTAGTGTCATATATCTTCTTTAAAGAAAAGCATTGAATGGTTAAGGTGCATTGCATTGAGATTGGAATGGAGTTTGTCATCAAGTCCTCATCAGCTGATTCATCTCGACAAGAAGTCAAAATGAAAATCACCTACTCCAACCACTTTTTGTGTCTTTTGCTTCTTTTATCCAACATTGCTTTTATAGTTTATTGATAGTGGAGTATCTGTTTCCTCGCCTCCGGTTAGGAAGTCATCTACAAGCCATGCAGTAAGAAGTCAAGAACTTATGGCCAAGTTCCTATAATTGTTTAGTACAACATTATATTTGTACAACATTTTTTTCTAATATTATTATTTAGTGTATAATTATATTTTATTATTATATTCGAGATAAAAGTGATATACATAAATAAAATATCTGACATATATTTAGTACAACATTATAATATATTTGTACACAAAAAATTTAAACATATATAGTGATTAGACGAAATCATACAAAACACAGTTATATTGAATCCGTTTCCTCCTACCTATAATCCCTTTCACCCTATTATTCAACCCACTCCTCCCCATTTTCCGTGCAATATGAACCACTTCGGTTTCATTCTTTTTCTTTCCTTGGGCGAAAAAGTCATGAATGGCCTCTTTGACTCGAATTATTTTTTTCTCTTGTTCAGTCATGCATGACTTCACGGACTTGATCAAGTATGCATGTTCCTGCAGGCCAAAAGCAACGAAGGTGCTCCTCTCTTAAATTATTTATATAGTAGCCACCCTCACACTAGCCTTTCAAGCTAGGAAAACTGAAATGGTGGTAGCAATCAAGTAAATTATCAACTAGCAAAGTTGAAACTTGGAAGCCAGAGAGGGGAGTCACCAAAGAAAGAGATGAAGCTCAAATTGTTTGTACATCGTCTATCTCAGCCATCCCGTGCAGTTCTCATCTTCTGCAAGTACACTTAATTTTCCTTGTCCTTCACTAGTCTTTTTTACAAATCTCAAAATTTTTTTAACCCTTTTTGTAATATATACATACATGTATATGAATATGTGTATATATTTTGTTGTAACTTGATATTGCTCCTTAAAAGGTTAAACAAAATAGAGTTTGAGGAAGTCCAAATTGATCTCTCTAAAGGCGAGCACTTGTCTCCTGAATTTAAAGGTTAACGATTAATTCTTTTCCTTAAAAAATTTGTCTTTTGTTGGCATATATATATAAAAACCATTCTTTTCCTTGTAATTTAGTTTGTGAACTTGTAATATTGCGCGTATTTTTGCTTCAGAAATCAATCCCATGCACAAAGTGCCAGCCATGGAAGTGGATGGAGGATTTAAGCTCTTTGAGAGGTAAGTGTGCACTTCGCAGCTACGAAAGAGACGAATTAATATGTATGATGCATGTTTGTTGGTGATAATAGCCTCTCTCCCCCCCCCCCCCCCAAAAAAAAGAAAACCCCCTTTTTGGTCCCTCTGGATTGTTATGGCTAGTTTTTCAAAATTCTAGCTTGGTCTTCAAAAGAACAACACAAAAAATTTAAGTCCAGTCAGAGCAATACGAGCTGCAGCCTAATATCGGGCTCGTTTTTGGCATCTGTCTTTTGCCATCTTTTGTTTGTCTTTCCTCCTCCCAGTTTCATTTTGGCGAGGTCATTTCTAAATATGCTTTCCATAAAAGTAAATTTCTCTTCCAAACTTTTTATAATGGGATGTCTTGCAGTCATGCAATTCTACGATTTCTGGCTTGTGCTTCTCCTGGAGTTGCAGATCATTGGTGAGTCTCCTTACCGTACATGCCAGTTTATACGCTATCTGATACTACCATAAACATTTTGTTATAAAACGTAAGGTATCAGTAAAAAAGAAAGCACATATTAGTTTCTAATAAATATATGAACACCTCACAGTCGAACATCTTTCCTATTATCTCTTGATGTTTAATTATGAGAATATTCAATGTGACTAAATCCTGAAATTAACTGTTTCATACGGTTATGTGGGTCAAATATTGAACATGGCTTCTAAAGTATCAAACCAACAACAGATACTCGATCGTACCTCTTTTGATCACTTGTGCTTTTTCATACCAAAAAGGTACCCAGCAGACCTGTTCAAACGAGCTGAGATCAACTCAGTTTTAGACTGGCATCACGCCAATCTACGACATGGTTCAGGTGCCAATCTTAAGTTTTGGCTCTCTATTAAATTATTACTGCTCTAGCTATACATTATTGGTTTGTCTTCCATTATCAAGAGAATTGGGATTTGTCTAGCGATGTCTAGATACAGTCATTCCAAGTCTCTTTTTCAGTATTCTGCTTATAAATGATACGTTATCATCAATCTTAATGTTGTACTCCTTGGTGCATGCTCTTATTTTTCTTACAGCTGGATTAGTCTTCCATAGCAAACTGGCACCACTTTTTGGTCTGCCTTCGGATGTACAAGCAGCAGCTGAGTGCGAAAAAGTGCTCTCAGCTTCTCTTGCAAAGATCGAGTCCTTTTGGCTAAAGGAGGAAGGACAATTTCTGCTGGGAAATTCCAAACCTTCAATTGCAGACCTGAGTTTGGTCTGTGAAACCATGCAACTTGAGGTAAAGAGTAGAGACTGTCTTCTTGCTCTTCTCATTTGCAGTCTGTTATTTACTATATTATATGAATTTCTTTATCAACTTAACTTGAGAACAGAGATCAAGACGTTATATAGGATTCCGACTGAAAACCTAAATACTTCCATAATCTATTAACATTGTCTCCTCAGTTTCGCCAAACTTTTTGGTTATCCAAAAGTCCTGAAACATGTTTTGTTTCTGGAGTTTATTTCCTTTTTTTTTTGAGATAGCATTTAATATCATTTGTATCAAGAGTACTGGCACATGATGTGATAACTTGAAACTTTCAAAGAACAAAAACTATGTATAGAATCAAGTGTTCGGTAATGGGGTATGGAGAGTCTATCTAGTCCACATAATATACAAAGGAATTTATGACAAGCGAGATGTAACTGATTACAACTTCGCTGTGGAATTTAGGCCTTGGATGAGAAGGTTCGTCAACGGTTATTAGACCCACATGAGAAAGTTCGGAAGTGGGTGGATGATACAAGGAATGCAATGCAACCTTACTTTGGAGAAATTCATGGCGTCCTATTTCAATTGAAAGACAAACTAAAGGAGATGGAGTCTGATGAGTGATGAGGCAAATTAAAATAAACTGACGTATAGTCTGCTTAAAGTAAAACAGATGCGGCATTGCAGCTATCTGTTTAGTTCCCTCAGTATGATTTCCAGGTTCTTTAAACCTTGAACAACCATATGATTACGTGCAACGTTGTGTAAGTTTGAGTTACAGTACTTTCTTTTTTTATGTTTTGTTTTTCAACGTTTTGTTGCTGGACAAAAGATGTTAATTGAATAAAATCTGTGTTGGGTCTTTGGGTAAATCTTTTGTATGTGTGATTTCAAGAACGAGAAAATGATTGTTGAGCGATCCAATGTGTCCAGCGCTGGTTTTGTTCGAAGATGCCTTCAAGCCATGAACACTTTCTCATGTTACCCACAACTAGCAAATTGCTTCACTGGTGCATGTATATGAAAGACTAAATTCCGGACTCTGGGAAGCTTGTATATAGTATTATTGCTCGAGTGTGGATAATCTAGGAAGCAGAATTTTTGAAAGCTCTTTTTTTTTCTCGTTTTTAGTGATTAATACCAAATTAAGCCTAAATTGGACTACAAACCTTTAACAGTCAGAATGTTTACCCAAAAAAAAATATACTGATAATAATAACAGAATACATCTAGAAAATCTCGACTTAGACTCTATTTGACAATTTAATTCAGCACTTAAATTTAATGGATTCAGATCTGAACATGTTAAAATGTGTTTGATAACAAAAAATAAAACATCTAAATTAATTAAATTGTACTAATTTCTCTAGGTAAAACTTAATCCCAAAAATAGGTAATAAGTTATTCACTCATTATTTAATGTGATACATACTCAAATGTATCAAATTTAGACCCTGTTTGATAACTCAATTTAACACTTAAAATTGAATGGGTCTAGACACATTTTGATAACAAAAAATAGAACATCTAAATTAATAATTAAGTAGCACTGAATTTCTTGAGTTTTTTTTAAAACCAAAATAACACTCTTGCTAAAAAATATTCCCAATGTGATTCACTTTTAAATTTTTTCCCCATAATGATATTATTATTGTCATCTAGTTATCCTGATTGTTGTGTAGGATAACAAGAAAGGAAAGTTCTAATCTAGTTTATAGTTTCCAACATCAACTAATATTTTAAATTTTTTTATTATAAAGGCACAAGAAGATTGCATAACTTTTATAATTTCCTTATAATTACTAATATAAATTCTATCATTATTGACCTTCCTATTATTGGTCTCTGAATTTTTTTTGAAATGTATCAAACCTATTGCATATATGTTTTTTCAAAAAATAAATTTTAAAAATACAAAAATTGCAACAAAATTGCAACGAAAATTGTAAGCAATTCCAAAAACTTCAATGCTTTATATTTGTTTATGATATCCTTTCTACTCTTTGAAAAGACATGAGAATAATTTTCATTTGCCTTAAGATTATCGACTCAAGAAGCATATTTTTTTGATGCTGTTAATATAAATATTAGCTTCTTAGATAATGTTTGACAAGGGAAAGATAATGAAAAAAAAATGCGGGAAGGTTTAGATAGAAATTTGGAGAAGATATTAAATGAGAAAGAGAAATGGAAGGTGTCTTTATCTCCATCCTGATTAGGGGTGCAAACAAGCCGAATCGAACCGAGTTTTGGCCTAATCGAGTCGAGCCTCCAGTTAATTTTGTGAAACTCGAGCTCGAGCTTAAAAAATATAAAAAATAATAATAAATTTATTTTTAAAAAATAAAAAATAATTATTTATTTTTAAAAATAAATAAAAATAATATTTTTTAACAAATAATAAAATATTAGGAATATATGTGTAGTTTTACTATTAAAATAAAAATATATAAAAAATATATATATATATATAATTGAGCTCGCGAGCAGCTTGCAAGCCAACGAGCTCAATGTTTTTGAGCTCGAGCTCGAGTTCGACTTAATTAGCTCGAGCTCGAATCGAGCTCGTACTTGAGCTGCTCGTGATCGGCTCAATTCGTGAACACCCCTAATCCTGATGCATATGCAGCCTAAGCGGTAAAAAAAGAATAATAAAGGTAATAAATTTTAAAATTAGATTACTTTGGGTATATGTTTTGGAAGAAGAGTTATATTGGCAATAAACTCGAATTTTCTAGGTAAAACTTACTTCAAAAAATAAGTGATAAACTATTCATTTATCAATTAAATGTATCATATTTAGCATTTAACAATTCAGTAATTTAATGAATTTAGATTTTGGTTTTTAGATTTCAGATTTTAGTTTTCAAACATCAGTTTTACCAAACGTGCCATTAGTACTTAATAATTTAGTAACTTAAAGGATTTGGATTTAATATTTCATATTTCAATTTTTAGACTCAATCTTATCAAACGTACCTTTAATGAATTTCTCTAACCCCAAATGAACAATCAATTATCATAAACTGTGTTTGCAACACTTATTAATCATTATAACTGAGTAAATCTAATCAAATTTTTTATAAGAGATCACAAAGGTTTCAAAAAAAAAAGGAAAGATTGATTCCAAAAAGACAGAAAATTTTTCGAATTCACTGCCAAGCAAAAAATGTTAGGCGTTGTACAATTGTTGCTCGTTACCAGAGATTTGGAAAGATCCTACAAGAAAGCGAGAGAGATTAGAAAAAGGGCAAAACAAAAAAGTTATTAAATGATTATTCACAGTTCAGAAATGGATAGTTGTGCTGCTGGATTCCGACAATTTAACAAGTCGAATTGACCCAGCCAAGATTTTATTTCTAGGGGCCCATGTTTCATTTGAGGACCCAAACGGCAGACCGCTCCGTCGTCCACAGATCTGCAGGCAGTGGTGAGACGAAAACCGGCCGACAAGCTGCTCGGGATTCAAAAGATGTGGGATTGTTGCTCTATGTTGAAGCCCTATAGAATTTCCAGAGTCTTTTCCAATCATGATCTCAGATCTTGGTGTAAGAAACAAGGCAGTTCGGCAATAAGGGCAGTTTACGTTGGTATTGTAAAGTAATAATCCAGTTTCCTATTTGGTAACTGGAAAACGAGTATGTAGTGGGAATATGCATGCCAGAAGAGAAATTGTTACTGTTGCAGCTAATTTCAAGTAAAAGAATGTGAAATATCTGGTACAATAAGCTCCGGCCCAACGCGGTGTTTTGTGGGGGTTGGGGAGTGAGAAGTCAGCTGCATGCAATGCAAAAATATAAAAATAAAAAGTAAAAAAGGGTTCTGGGAAGCAGTGATGAGACAAAAATCAAGTGAAATTCTGCTTCATACTCGGAGATGGAGGAATGCTGCTGCTGCTGCTTGTTAAAATCCCACATGACTTTCAAGCTCCTCTCCATAATAAAGACAATTCGTCTTGGTTGTGTTGTGAAAGTAGAAGTAATTGTTATTTTCTGGTTTGGTTGCTGGCCAGGCGATGGGATACAACAGCATATGAAACGAATTTGACACTGCTGTATTAAGCCAAGGCCAAATAAATCAATGTGAAAAAATCTTCTGTGAAGTAGACTCGCCCTTTTTTTTTTTTTTTGGACAATAAGGATGAAGGATAAGGAGGGTGCAGACAATACTTCCAGATTTTAATTTTTTTTTTGAGGCATTGTTTTTAACGGGAGATTTTGTTGCTGCCCTCAACAAATCACTAGTGTCATCTTCTTCTTCTTTAAAGAAAAGCATTGAATGGTTAAGATACATTGCATTGAGATTGGAAGGGAGTTTGTCAAAAGAAAATCACCTGCTCCAGCTACTTTTTGTGTCTTTTGCTTCTTGTATCCAACATTGCTTTATAGTTTATTGATAGTGGAGTATCTGTTTCCTCTCCTCCAGTTACTTACAAGTCATCTACAAGCCATGCAGTAAGGAATCAAGAACTCATGGCCACATTCCTATAACAAGATTTGCTCATTAAAATTGAAAAGAAAATAAATTTCCCCTTGAAAAAATTTTGGATCACTCTGTGATTAAATCGACACAGGCTTCTACTTGAAAAAAAAAAAAAAAAAAGAATGACTTTGTCCAGCTACAAGTTACAACATTAAAGGGGGGCAAAAAGAGGAATAGCACAAAATTAAATTTAAAGTTCAGAAATTTGTAACACACAAAAACTTCCCAAAAAAAAACCGAGAAGAAAATGTTTGTGCTTATAGTTTCTTTTATTATTATAATTATTTTTGGAAAATCATAATTTATTTTATCATGTAATCTAATAAATGAAAATATTATGATAAAAATGATTGTTGAAGTGCGATTAATAAAAATTGAAGTGCAAATAACATTTTTCTTATTTTTTTAATACTATTTGATATTATTTCGATTAAAGTTGTAGCGCGCAGAGGCATCTCGGCCCAAGTTTAAACAAGCCCTGGTCTGAAACACTCCGCTGCCAAACAGTCATCCCTACCGAGGCCCAATATTTTAAGGCCTTATGGGTCCCATTCTAGCTAGTGCTGCTCATCTGTAAAGTTACAGCAATGATCTTCTCCGTGCATTTCTTTATTTTTTTGGGTGTTAGGGAAAGGGTTAGTGGTTGAGAACCGGTATGGTTGATCTGATTGTTGTATATATTTTTTTAATATATTATTTAGTGTACAATTACATCAAATTATTATATTTAGGATAAAAGTGATATCTGTGAATAAAATATTTGACATATATTTAGTACAATATTGACGACCGAACAAAACTGCATAAAACATAATTATATTCAGTTCGTGCCGGTTTACCTATAATTTTTTCCACCTTATTATCCAACCCAATCCCCCCATTGTCGGTGCAATATGAATCACTTCCGTTTAATTTTTTTTTTCCTGAATTATGCATCGCATTTTCTTTTTCTTTCCTTGGGCGAAAAAGTCATGAATGGCCTCTTTGACTCGAATCATTTTTTTTCTCTTGCTCAGTCATGCATGACTTCATGAACTTGATTAAGTGTGCATGTTCCCGCAGGCCAAAAGCAACGAAGGTGCTCCTCTCTTAAATTAATATATAGTAGCCGCCCTCACGCTAGCCTTTCAAGCTAGGAAAACTAAAATAAATGGTAGCAATCAAGTAAATTATCAACTAGCAAAGCTTGAAACTTGGAAGCCAAAGAGCCAGAGAGGGGAGTCACCAAGGAGAGAAATGAAGCTCAAATTGTTTGTAGATCGTCTATCTCAGCCATGCCGTGCAATTCTCATCTTCTG